GAAGGGCAAGTGGAAGCTTGACCCTACACAAGGTGAGCTCTCGCTCTGACAGCTTCTTCAAATGGAGCCAAGATCAATAACAGCAAATAATGTCACCACTATTAACACAAACCTCTAAGTCTACTTCACACAGTATGTCACAATGAATCTTACAGGGCATTCAATCTACCTGGTGAAAGAGAACACAGTTGATTCTGGACATTATGAGCTGTTGCTGGAAGTATTTGACCTTCAAGGTATAAGAACCGAACACAACCTGTCAGTTACTGTGTGTAAGTGCATAGACCCAGCCAGGCCAAACTGTCACATCCACAAAGCTGTGATCGGAGGAGGAGCAATCGGGATCATTGCTTTCGTCATACTACTGCTTGCAGGTGGGACACATATCCAAAATACTTCGAATTGCTAGTATCGTGTGAAAACTGTCTTATCCCTGTGATGAAAAGTTAAAAAAGAAAACACCAAGCCACAGTTACACACTATCTTCTAAATTAAACATAGTATAAGTGTTTTTATGCTTTGGTCATGAACCCTTCAAATGGTAAAAGATGAATAGCCTCATTTAGGACATAAAACTGTATGATTTGATTTGTGTGTGGTCTTTGTGTGCCAGGTGTGCTACTTTTGGCTATTCTGGTGTCTTGTAAGAGAGACAGTAGACCTGTACAGTTGCCAGATAGAGTTGAAGGTTCGGAACAACATCTGATGGTCTGTAACATTGAGAGACCAGGAACAGACTGCAAGGTAAATCATTTTCATTGCAAAATTACCTGCACTTGATTAAACAGAAAGCAATGTTTCCTTTGTCTGATTCTTACAACTGTATTCAAACTTTCAACAGGTGGCACTTGAGCAGTTAAACAAAGAATACAGTCAGAGTGAGATACAAGCCCAAATAGTATCTCAAGTTCCACAGATAAAGCTAGTAAGTGATGGAAATTTAATAACAATCTTATTAAACAGACATTTCTTATTCTATCATGCATCATGATAAATGGTCAATAATTCTTTCTCTTTTTTTAAACTAACGTGGTCATGACTGACTTATGAAATTGCTTCTTTGCAGTCAACAAGTGAGGCAGTGGTAGATGCCCAGACAGAGCACGCCACATGCCAATCTGAAAAACTTAAGCGGCGAATGGACTATTTGGATCTGGTACAGAAACCATTATTATTTACTATATGTTCTGCTGAAAGTAGTCTGGATGTAACTTTACTTGTATGGGAACTGCACAGAGAGGAAGTGAAGAGGGAGTAAGATGGAGCCTGGATGCGGCGAGATATGTGACCAGATGATCATGGTGTATAAAATACACTGCAGTGATGATACAGATGTATGTAACGTGGATCTGCCGATGCAAATTAAACCTACGTTAGACCCACGCTGATGTTTAGTACTGAAACTATTATTATTATTGATTCTGAGTATTGCACCCAAGTTTAAAGACCTAGATGTCAAGAATTATGCTAAGCTGTGACATTTTCCAGTTAAATTAATTCTACCATGTTTAAAACGTTGACGCCATGTTAAGTATTAACCAGAGAAATGCTTGATTTTCCAGTCAGTGGGTGAATCATCAACCATGAGAATGACACATCAACACAGACACTCTATACATGGGGTACTGCAATCTACACTACTATTTTTATAGCCACAGAGTTTAGCTATTACATTTTATGATGTTATCTAAAACAGCTGAAATCAAATAACTTTCTGCTTCTGATTTCCCAGACTTGGGCTGGACAAAAAACATGTTCTGGAGAAGTGAATGATGTAAGACGTGAAATGGTGATCGAAAGACTTAATGAGGTAATGACAAGAATTTAATAATTACTACAAATCTATGGTAGTTCTGTGTCTTTTTTAAAATTATATTCTCCTTTCCTTTTTTCCTCCCCTGTGAACTGTAGATGCTGTACGCCCAGCAGGCACCAGGAGAGGAGCTGGGTGATTATACTCCTCATGTGTATGCTGAGGAAGGAGACCCAGAGACCAACTTTGAGCTTGATGCCATCTCCATCTCTGACACTCCCTTTGACCCAAACTTGGACCTGGACCTGGATTACAGGTTCAATACTCTGGCCTCAGTCTGCATGCCTAGTGAAAGCCTGCTCACAGTACAACAAGACTTAAGACAACGACTCTGATCTCCAAAATGAACACTCCATCGCTATTAATCCTTGATCATAAATGTTCCCTGGATACGCAACAAGGTGATTTAGAGCATAATCTTTCTGATGCCTCTGGTGCCTCACAGCCAGTTATGCTACGTGTGGCCACACCTGAAGGATTTGTCTATTTTCTTGAATCTTTTATAGATTCTGTATCTGTCAATGCTGTCAGGGGCAAAAATGAATTACTGATTTCGAGTTGTACTGCTATAGAGACCTTTTTAGCAACTGAAGCATTTCATGCTGCATGACCTTCTGTGTCTTTGCATAGTTACAGAAACATTCATATATCATTTTCTCGTTACACCTCGGACCCTTTTATTTATTTTCTATTTCATTGTATTGTTTCTTTTCCATGAGAGTTCTATGTTCAGTCTGCAATTTGTACTGTTATTACTTTATTATCAACTTGATGTTGTAATAGCCAGAATTTGTTATTGAATGAAGGTTTAAACAAAAAAAAAAGTTCAGTATGTAACACCTAGGGAATTTGGTGGCATTTAGCAGTAAGGATTACACACTGCAGGCAGCTTCCCCGTGTTCATTGTTCAGTAGTTTTTACAGGGAGACGAATTATCCTACTCCACTCCAAAACAAACGCAAAAACACAAATGGCTCTATCTAGAGCCAGTGTTTGGTTTGTCTGTTCTGGGCTTGAGCACATTTGATTTTGGGAGAGCTGCACCTTTTACTTCACTCTGTTTAACTTGGACCTGTTGTCCTCGTTAGTGGACAGTTTTACGTGCCATCTAGTGGTAGCAAGAGTAAAATACACTAATCTATGTAAAAACAGTGGACAGGTTAAAAAACCTGATCAAACCTTATGGTTGAAGCTTGTTTATTTGATTTTATGATTTATGGTTTAATGATTTAATGATTTTAAGATGTATGATTTTGCAAATACTGCGCTATCTTCTATCTTCTATATACTTTATTGTCATCTTATGTTTTGTTTGGTTTTAAATGTCCTTTTCTATTGAATTGCCTTGTTAGCCTGTTTTACGTCCATTCTGTCTGTTTTCATGTGAAGCACTCAGTGCATGGTGGCAGTATCTCAGTCCATAGGGACTTGGGTTGGGAACCGGAGGGTCGCCTGTTCAAGTCCCCGTCTGGACCAAATATGGAGTGTGGACTGGTGGCTGTAGAGGTGCCAGTTCACCTCCTGGGCATTGCCGAGGTGCCCTTGAGCAAGGTACCAACCGCTTGAGGCACCTGACAGTTTTGCAAAGTTTAAACTTAAACAGTGACCTCTAACCCACAGAGTTGCAAAACACTCAACAAATGTTGCACTGTATGTAATTTTGTTTTTGCACAATAATGTTCTCCCCTCTTCAGAGGGGAGAAGTCAGAGCACTTCCAAGGAGGCATGATAAGTGCTGATGCCAACTGTTGCACCATAAATTCAGTCAACCGCTGTCACCTTGTCAGGCTGGTTTTGTGTTTGTTGACTCTGGGTGTTTTTATGTCTGTCTGTCCTGTGGATGTGTACATGTATGAGCCTCTGTGTGAGTACACTTCCATGTCTCTGGAAATAAAATGTATCATATATTTCATATCATCCAAAAGAATATGTTAACTGGCCTCATTTATTTTTACTCACATCAAACGTTTGGCACTGATGTGAGTTAGACCTTACATCAAAGGGTCAAAATAAAACTCAAAATAATTTAATCTGTTTTCCTGTAAAATACTGACTTCTCCTGAATCCATGATTTACGCACCATTTCAGCAAGTTAAAGTTATAATAAGGTACATTTTTAAATTTTAATAAGGTAAAAACAGGTACATTTTTAAGGTTATGTAAATGGGAGTGGCATTCAACTTATGAAATCACAAATCACAAATGGAACTGCTGTATGGACAGTGAACGCATTCTTCACTTTGCTCACCCACAGTATTTTTGTGTAATTTCTTGAAACTAAATATAATAGCATGGGGTCTCTGGATTTATTAACTATCTGGACTATTTGCACCACTTAATACAGTGTGTGTTTACTTGTTGCTGTGGCCAGGCAGGAGGAGCCAGTGGTGTGCAGACAGGACACTGTGGGAGCTGCTGTTCCATCTAGAAGCCTTTCTGAGGATAGTCCGACCTTCTTTCTGCAATGCCTAAACAACATGGCCATGAAAACAAAACAAAACATGAAATATCATTTAAAAGCAGCTAGCAGTCAATTTTATCACATACAGTGATAGTGTTAAAAGATGAGTGATAGACAGTACCGGGAGCGTACCTATGTTCCCCGGGTTCTATGTTCCCTGGGTCCTATGTTCCCCGCTTTGTATGGGACCCCAAAAGGGTCCTATGTTCCCCGCTTTGTATGGGACCGGGGAACATAGAACCCTTATTAATAATAAGGGTTCTATGTTACCCGCTTTTCCCCAAAAGGACCCGGGGAACATAGGCCCTTTTTTTTAAAAAAAGGGTCCTAACCCCAACCCTAACCCTAACCCCTTTTTCTCAAAAGGGTCCTATGTTCCCCGGCAACAGCGGGGAACATAGAACCCTTTTTCTTAAAAGGGGTTCTATGTTCCCCGGTCCCATACAAAGCAGGGAACATATTTCCTTTTGGGGAAAGCGGGGAACATAGGACCATTTTTTTTTTTTTTTTAAAGGGTCCTATGTTCCCCGATCGGGGAACACAGAACCGGGGAATATAGGGATGACCCCGACAGTACCATGCATGTAACAGATGAGATTAGAGGCTGTGCCAACAGTGGAGTGAGGGTTCTCAAAGATGCCTGACTGGGATGAAGTCACAATAACACGCCCAAGGTCCACATGGTTAAGCCATTGACCAACAAAGGTGGCATGAACGCTTCGCTCCATGAAGGGCAGCTGTGCCGTGAGCACCCTGGAGGCTGCGGTGGAGGTGGGAAAAACAACAAATATTAATTGAACATGGCTTCAAAAGGGCACAATCTTTCCCTCTGTGAACAGGAAGGCTCATAAAGAAACAACCCCTTTCTCAGCCTACGCTCAAGTCATCACATCTCAGATGATCTTTGAAGAAAAGATATATAACAGTGATTGGATTTCGTATTTGTGCATCTCAATCTTAAACATCTCACATATCTAAAGCCTGGTAATGTACACTGGCATCTCTCCATGAAACAAGGATTATGTTTGAAGAGACTGTTTTGCTTAGTCAAAGATGGAATTAGCACTGTCATGCTCTGGTGATTTTGAATTGTTATGTTTCGAAAGTGAATGGGTGTGTTTGCTTGTTTTTGGCTGTCATGTCTCAGTGCTTTTAGCAGCACATCATTTGTAACTCTAGAGGTTTTGTAAGGGCAGTCTTTCTTTTTATCTTTAAACTGTAAGTTTATCTGTGAAAACTGGAATATTTTAAAGTATATAGGATGTTTTATTTCTGCCTATCACTCTCAAAACAGTACCGTTTTGTAAAAGATCCCTGATATGGACCAGCAGAATTCTGACTGGTTTCTAATGGCATGGTGATACAGTGGTGTTGAATTTACACAACTTGTGTTTCAGCAATATTCATTCCTTGCTTTGTTTTCTTGTGTACATTTTTGCATCTGCTGTCTTGAACTTGCATCCACTCAAAAAACAAATTGAAATGGAAAGAGATTTGTATTCGCCATCACTAAAAAAACATGCAGGTAGCAACCATTTTACTTAAAGAGGGAAAAAAGAGGCAAGCAATTATTGAACCAATTACAATAAAACTATACCAAACACCATGTATGCTATAATCTAAGGGCTGCGTTTTTAATGACTATGAGTAGTTTTATTAATTCTTCTTGTACACTTGCAAGCTAGGTGAAGAGGTTGTCAGTGAGGGAGTGGTGGCAGAAGAAATGTCACACAGCTTGTTAGAGGGGTGAACAGTTGAGTCGAGTTCACTGATTTCTCACCCTGCATATAATTCCAGTCATAATCCCATCAAAAATGTTTAGCACACTCGAGCAAGTTTCTGAACACAGTGTTTTTAAACCAATGACAGCAGCTGTCAACAGTGTTGGTACTGTATGAAAATTACGACCACAAGATGGTTGTTCATATCGACTCCCCATGTTGCTGCCAAAAACAATCTTATGTCTTTGTGATTTTATTTGACCTAAGTTTAGATATTTTGGCTTTATGTTTCCTCTGTAAGCTGCTGCTGCTGACAGTTACAGTGTGTTAAAGTGTACTTGTTGCATGAACTAAGTAGAGATGCCAGAGGCAGTTAAGAGTAATAAAATGCTAATCTAGCACTCTGACCTCATTTGATCTGCACACATGACTTAGATCAAACTGAAGATACAAGACATGGGATTTTTTTGCAACCAGGCAACATAAACATAATCACAGCAAAATAAAATAATTCAAGACTTTAAAAGTGCTGGTGTATGGAAGCGAATCGTGACTAATATTTAAATTAAAATGTATTTGCAGAAATGCTTTTTCATTTTAAGAATGTGGCTGCATTATTTGACTCATATATAAAATTAATCATCAATCATCCTATTTGCATTTTAATTTTCTTCTTCAAGACTGCTCATTCGTTTACTTAATTAAAATGAAAAAGAAAAAGTCATTTGAGATTTAATTTTCAAAATATGCCCCAGCAAATAGATACCAAAATTCAATTTGAAATGTAAAATTTGAAAATTAAAATGCATTTGCAGAAATGCTTTTTCATTTTAAGAATGTGGCTGCATTATTTGACTCATATATAAAATTAATCATCAATCATCCTATTTGCATTTTAATTTTCTTCTTCAAGACTGCTCATTCGTTTACTTAATTAAAATGAAAAAGAAAAAGTCATTTGAGATTTAATTTTCAAAATATGCCCCAGCAAATAGATACCAAAATTCAATTTGAAATGTAAAATTTGAAAATTAAAATGCATTTGCAGAAATGCTTTTTCATTTTAAGAATGTGGCTGCATTATTTCACTCATAAATAAAATTAATCATCAATCATCCTATTTGCATTTTAATTTTCTTCTTCAAGACTGCTCATTCTTTTACTTAATTAAAATGAAAAAGAAAAAGTCATTTGAGATTTAATTTTCAAAATATGCCCCAGCAAATAGATACCAAAATTCAATTTGAAATGTAAAATTTGAAAATTAAAATGCATTTACAGAAATGCTTTTTCATTTTAAGAATGTGGCTGCATTATTTCACTCATAAATAAAATGAATAATCAATCAACCTATTGCATTTGCATTTTCTTCTTCAAGACTGCACATTTTATGCCATAATCAAAAAGAAAACAAAGAAGACATTGCTATTTCATTTTCGTGGTCTGCCCTGCAAAATAGTGACCATAATTCGAAAATGATTTGGCAATCTGAGCGGCGCAGGAGAGTGACGTCAGGAGCCGCTCTTCTTCAGCTGACCATGGTGCTACCCATCTAATACAGTAGGGGGCGGTGTGCACATTTGATATATGGATGCATCACAGATCATGGCGCTCCCTGAGATTGTGCTTTCTAAACATCGTAATTTCCCAAAACTGAATAAATACCACACATAGCAACACAAAACTGCTTTGCTAGCTCAATCATGTTGTAACTAAGATATCTGCTGGAAAAAATAATTTTTTCATGGACTGTTCATTGAGGATACGGAGTTAATACGTCCGCTGACTTGACAGTCATTTAAACTGGTAGCAGGTGCCGTGTCAGTGTTAGTAGGCACTAGGGTTGCTACGGGTTACCTGCACAGCTGTGGGCGTAGGTGGTGATCAGTCACATGTAGGTTAGATAGGGGAGTCACAGTTGATCAGTGTTATGGAATGAGAATCAGGGGAGGCCACACAGTTTTTCGACCGTGTCTGTGTGTGTGTCGAGTGAATGGGTTTTCGTTATAATCGTAGTATTTTTGTCCTTTCGCACGAGCTCGTTTTAAGTCTTTTTTACACTCAGCTTTTTGTAGGTGTTTTGAACGTTTTTGTAAGTCAATAAAGTGTTCAAAGCGTACCATGGAGGACCTCGTGTTTGCACACCAACATGAGTTTAAAATGGCTTCGGATTCCCTCAACTGGCATTTTTGTAGTTGGATTGCTGATACACTCAGTTTGAGCTTATACTTTGTAGACATTTTGATTTCCCAAAACTAAATAATAGTCCAGCAACTTTTCCGGAGGAAACCCTGTGACATTGACAAGTTAAATAATTTTCATACATACTGCCTTGGTTTGATTCTAACCCATACAATATGGTTGTCAAATATTGAATCTGCTCGTGAAATTAATAAATTAAGCACAGCTAAGATTAACTAATATAATATGGAGTACCTATTGACATCAGTGTGTAATAAGCCTGGAGGCCATAGCTAACAAGCTGCAGTCAACAAAGACCCTTGTAAACTTGTATACGTTTCATAGATATATTTACACTACTATTAATTCAGCTTTCAGCATGATCTTGATCATGATAGAAATTAAATTGCATCATGCCATCTTGCTGTTCTGCATTAAATTGTTAAGCAAAAAAATATCCACTGATCAAAGGAATTGTTGGACTGTATGTTTATCTATATTATCTATATATATTTAATATCAATAAATCATTGCATACATAAGTAATCATCTTAAATATTTAGGTTAATATAATTTAGATCTGCCCTGTAAAAGTGTGTGTGTATAGCGCACTGAATGAGTGTTTGGTGCGAAGATGTTATTACCGCTTGTCATAAGAAAACACAATGCGCTCACTTGTAAGGTCCTCTTCACACCTAACACTCATTCAGTGCACTATACACACACTTTTACAGGGCAGATCTAAATTATATTAGGCAGCTTTGTATGTATGAAAATTATTTAACGTGTCAATATCACAGGGTTTCCCC